AGAGCAAAGAAGTGAAACCGCCGGTGCCGGCCGGGGGGGCTCGCCCTCCCCGCGGGGTTTTCTCTGCCTTCTCTCCCGGCCGAGGGGGGTCCAGGCCCCCGCCGGGGGTGGTGGCGTGCTGGCTCCCAGCCCTCGGCGACATGGCCAGGGCCCTGGTGTGCCAACGCGGCCGACCCGACCCTGGGGCTTCCCGGGGCCACCTGCACCTTGCGGCGTGGTGGTGGGGGGAACCCTGCCTGCCCCCCCGGCCGGGCTCACCCCGCCGGGCCTGGGCCCCCTCATCCCCTTTGCATGTTTTTGCGCCGCTGTGAAATTCCCAGCAAGGGAGAGACGCCCCAAACCTCCGCCAGCCCCACACTGCGGCTCGGGGGCGGGGCAGCCAGCAGCCAGCCCTGGTGGCACTTGTGGCAGGGCCACACGGGTGGCTCTGCTCCGTGCCAGGACCCCTTCTCTCCTGCCTGCCCCTCGCTGGGCTTCGCAGGGGGCTTGTCCCCCCCTTTCTGGCGTGCATTGCCATCCGTGGTCTGGAGGGCGACGCTAGAGCAGCGTTTGGGGGCTCCTGGGGCTGTGCCAGGGGCCACAGCCGAGCGTGGAGCATGGGGCTGCCCCACCGCTTTGGGGGGGCCACGGTGGGCTCTGTCCCCACCCCCACAGCAGCTCAGGCCCCTGCTGTGCCAGCCGGGGAGCAGTGGGGACGGTCGGGCTGCGCTCTGCCCTGAGGTCAGAGCCACGTTGTGGACGTGGGGCCAGACCGGGGCTTTACCCACGGGGTTCACGTGGGGCTGTTGGACCAGCGGCACGCAGTGCTGATGGTGCAGCCACGTCCCTGTCCTGGGGTGACTGCATGGGGGAAACTGAGGCAGGAGGGAAGCAGAGCAGCTCCATCCCCTTTGTGTGGCTTTACTGTGTCCCCGCATGTCCCAAGACCCCCTCCCAGCCACTGTGCGTGGGGGTTCGGTGCTCCCGGCCCCCTGCCCGCTCCCGCCACAGCAGCTCTCCCGGCCAAGTTTGTTCTGGAGCGGGATCCCTTTTTTCCTCTTTCCCCAGCGCTGGAGCTTCAATTGTTCATCCTCCCACGCGCCGCAGCGAGGCCGGGCCCATGCCGGCTGCCGTGCCGCGGCGGAGGGGGCGGCTGGGCTGGCGCCTCTGCTCCCTCACTGGGGAAATGCCCCCCTTTGGCAAAGCACCGCAGAAAGGGGCTTCTCCCCCATGGGGACCAGCCCGGTGCTGGCCGTCCCGCGGGCTGGCGGGGACCCCGCTTTGGGGGTGTCTGTGCATCCCTGCCGGCGGCTGTGCCGTGGGATGCTGGGGGTGGTGGGGCTGCATCCCCCCCCGTGCGAGGAAGGTCAGCCCCCCGTGACCCCCCGCCACCTTTGTCGTTGCAGGGGACCGCTTGG